GCATATATCTTGTAAAGTTATATCTTGCAGGCTATATGGCGGTGTGTGGAATACCAATTGCCCGTCGTGTAAAATGGATTGTCCAAATCCTTTTTCTTTACCAGGTTCATGAATTCTAAAAACAAATTAAATGCAATTCATATAAAAATGGTAACAACATTACGATTATTATTACGCTAAAGCTTCTAAATCAGTCATCAAATGTATTTAATATGAAAAGAAATATCTACCTATAGGCAGCGATATTAATACCATCTTGAAGATCATGGTAGCTTGGTTTGAAAAATCTTGGTCCGTTTCGATTATTGCCAAAGAATATGCAACCTCCTATACAACCACATTTCGTTGCTTTTACTCCACTTTCTTGTGGCCATAGAAACCACAAACGTTTCGTTGCCTCATCATGCATTTTTAAATATTTATTTTGTACTAAATGTAAATTATGTTCTGGAGTTGGAAGAGAAATCGCGGCTTCTAAGATAACTGGACCCAGAGATATTGATCCTACCTCAAGCCATATATCCGATCCATCACCTGACATTCGACTGCTTGCATTATTGTGAGATCTTCCACTACCAGTTGTATTAGTATTACTGGTATTCGCAAAATAATCTGCTGCAGACACAAATTGCCGAATAGATATTGTAGGTAAAACAGCAGTAATGCCCGATTTTACTTGATGTCCATGAAGATTACAAGTGGCAACACGAATTGGAGATATCCAAAATTGTATGGCAGTATCAACTTCTTGTAAATATAAATCGACAGCATCTATGGACAATCTCGTCATTCTATATTTTATATCTTCGGAACTTGGACATCTATAATGTTTATCAACATCGCTTTCTGGACATTGTAATGGCGTGAGACCATGATGGCATTGAAAAGGTAAATTGGGTGGACGTAAACTGTTCTCGGTATCCTTTGCCATTAACAAGAAAGTCTCCAATGATGTAACAAAATGATGTAATTGCGGAGAGGTGATCTTTCCGCTTAATTTGCCCAACTGCACTTCGATCAACCATGCATACTCCAATGTTTCCTGATCTAAATTCCTTCCTTCATTACTAAACATAGCATGACCTCTAATTTGCAACGCACTTAACATTAAATGTCCCTGATTTAAATGATGTTCTTTATTTGACCTCGCTACATTGTCAGTAACTAAAGCAATAGCAGGGGAAAGCAATAACTGAAGTTGTGTCTCCTTGTAACCTTTCCTCATTTCAAATCCAAAACGTTCCAGAAGTATAACTGGGCATGGTGGATCATTGTCATTACAATTCTTTATTAAATGAGCTTGAATGTCGTGCATAGTAACACCAACAGTCACTTCCAATGGTCTGTAATCTCTTGGATCAAATGGCTTAGATTTAATTTCTTCATCTTCCATGGATGCCTCAATACTGCTATTTTGTATATCTTTATCCTTATTTCTTTCTGCAGACGTTGAAGTGTTTCGACTTTGTTGCATATCGGTAAACGTTTGATAATCACCAAATAAATTTTCTTTCAAGTGCATGAAGTTCTTTAGCAGAGATCCATATAAAATCAATATAGATGGTCCAATTTCAAGCTCTATACTAACCTTATCAGGCGTTATGGATTGCGGATCAAACTTTTGTGCACCATTTCTTGCCCATTGCAAGCCCGGTGATTTCCTACATTTAGGAATTCGCATAGGAGACAAGAGAATTTCTTCTTTTTCTGGAGTTGTTATATTAGCTTGTGGAGTAGGGCCCAAAGGTGGACATAGATGATATATATAATTAATACTCAACGCCACGATTGGTACAGACCAACAATCGACCCAGCCTGATTCTTTTTGACAAAAATTTCTCCATTTCTTGCCTCTATTCAATTCATGCAAATGCTTATGAGATCCGTCACGCGTTATAATTTTTGCATTCTTATCCAATGCCAATAAAATAATACGATTGGTATTGACTTCCGGTAAATAGAATGAAAGATCAACGCTTTCTCCTTGAATCCAAAAACGTAAGGGTATCGTCACGGGTAGAAAGTCTACGAATGGAAGATCAAACGAGAGATCAAACAGCTCTCCGCAAAAGGCGATATGCGCATTCTCTTGGTTCTGCGATGAGCAATCAATCCAATTGTATTCATTGCAAAGCGTAATCAATTCAAATTCTTTCAAAAGCAAATTAAATTTCCAAGTATATGGAACAAAATGTAGAATATCAGGTCTCGCTTTACTCGCCCAATCATTGATCATATCTTGAAAAAAATCTTTATGCGAATAAACTAAATTAGCAGTTGCTTTACATCCAGTTAAATTCAGCGTCCATTCCTGATGATCGTTCCATCTAATGGGATAATGACACTTTATTCCAAATTCTAAAGTCTCACTTTCAACTAGACTCCGATATTGCAAACTAGTCGTGGCTTCCAAATGTAAGAGCTGACCAGTTATCTTTGTAGTATATCCATCTTGCAATACTATCCATGGCATTGTAATTTCTAAATATGATCCTGGTCCTACGTTAACGTGAACAGCGTTTGTTTCTCTATTTTTACTAAAAAGTATATCGATCGTTGCTTCATTCAGTGTTGACAATCTGATGTCAAACGATTGAACTTGTCTTTTATCTCCTGGTTTAGGCAATTTTGTAACCTTCAATGGTTGATAATCATTGGGAAAGAAGAATTTGAATAAATGTTCACGTTGTCTGTCGGCCCAAGGGCCATAACTGAAATCCGTACCCTTTCCACATTTAATATCGATACCCCATATAGGAGGCATTGCTTCAACCATGTCTCCATTCACCAACTGTATCATTTCAGGATGTTCTGGTACAACGCCAGGTTCGTCCATGTAATAATAAAGCTCCATATTATTTGAACTTAGAACAACGAAGCCTTCTCCCATGTATCTGGGCGGATCGTCGACCATTCCAGTATATTTAGGACTGGGAGCCAAAATAACTTTAAAGTTTTCAGCCTTACACTTAGTAAAATGCATAAAATGATCATGTCTAGACGCTGCTGGTTTTGTAGAATATACAAAATGTGCTTCCTCCACTGTTATTGACAATGTGGTTGGTACTAAACGATTACCGAACACCAGTCTTACCCTAAAAAAAAAAAAAAAGTAAAATTATAAAGTAAAATTAAAGAAAATTGGAATAAAAATAATCGTTATTGTTAATTTGCTATTACTAACTGTGCAAATGTCCAATTTAATAACTGGTATCAAATCTCTCCAAGTACGTGCGATCACATGAGCTTCCTTTTTTCTGATATTATCCACATGACGAGACACATCCATTGCATTAATTTGTGAGTGACGAGTCTCATTAGCTGCATTATTTATAGATTCCCCGTCTAAATCGTCACTGTTTATATTATGATTTTCTTCATCGGGAAACATTTGCGGTGTAAGACCAAAGGATTTTTCTAATTGTGCATAAAGTTGACAGCGATTATAAACGTGTAATTCTACGCCATTTAACATAACTGACAATCGCGTGTCAGAATGTGAGAGGTCTACAAGATAGAAAGTTGTATGAGATGTATTGTACAGTTTTACTCATTTTAAAATTTATTTTTTTTTTTATTTAATTATTACATTAAGTATTAAAAAAAAAGCACTTACCTTCTGATACATCTTTAGGAACATAGCTTGTCCACCATCTAAATATAAGCCAACCATCTTGAATTCTAAAACTATAATCTGTTGTGATATAAACTATGTCCCTAAACATTATCTTTCCACTTAAAGCGCTTAGCGTAAAAGATCCTGAAAAAATAAAATTGAATAACTATTCTAAATTAGCTTATGGATCATCAATATAATTATAAGAACTATATTCTTACCAACTTTAACGTATCCATCTCTGATAACAAATCGATTTAACAATTTTGTCATTATATAACCAGCAACTCTACTATTATAATAAGCAATATAAACAATCCAGGATATGGCAGATACTAACGAACATAGCAACCATATAAAGTTGCTATCCATTTTAAGATCATCCAGAACATGATCAATGGAATAATTCCAAAGTGCTGACTCAAAGGAAGATGAATTTGTAGTATTATACATTTCGTTTTTTTCCATAATAATGCTATTTTCTTATGACTGTTAAATTAAAAACTATTACTCATAGTGTTTTATGTACTGAAACAATAAAAAGTCACACTATACTAATATTAAAATCTATGTATACATAAATATTATCTATTATCTATTATCTTTCATAATAACTATTTATAAATATTATAAATATTTAACAAATAATAATTACAATCTGTTACAAATTACGATACTAATAATTATTTAAACTTATTATTTTATTACGTTATTTAGCATAAATCCATCCCTGTAAAACTTATGAATTCACGTTATTCAACATAATCTACACATTCCTATAAAGTGATAAAGAAATTAAATTACAACTCAAATGTAGTGCCTGTTCTTTATTTGTTTGAGATCTTTTTTAAGCATATGATTAACAAAAAATTGTGCTGACACATTAATAAGAATTTCATTAAGGTATCGCGAAAAACAAGATACATCTCTTGTCCAATAAACACAAGTTCAAAAAAAGTATCAGCATTGATGTATTCATTTACACGCACAACACGAAAACTTAATGGTCTCCGTGATTAAAAAATAATTATTCGTCGCAACGATCTCGTCAGCGGGAAAAGCTACTTGTTCGATATAGAATATTCTATGTTGACAATTTACCTTTGTTAGATAGCCGGGTATAAAGCACATTGACATTTTTACTATATCATTCATGTTTCTATGTTTGTCATTATAATAATCGTGTTTTCATTATAATAACCCTGGAGAGAAATGTCAGAGAGAACTGTCATCAATGGATAATGACACGCATAACCACTCCATACTTGATGTATCTTGACCAATGCATTGTCAAGGCGAGTTCTCAGGACAGCGATAAAAAAAATGTGCGATACTAGGCCTATTCTTTTTTTCAATTTTTGAATTTGCACTATTTACCTTTTTTTCCCTTTTCTCTGCATGTGGAAGAAAGAACAAACCTACTACTAATACCATACTGGTATACGTACTTTTAGAGAAAATTTTAGGGCAAATGTAGTGTGTTCTAATACGTAGAAACAAATTTTAGTAATTTTAGTTACAAAATTTGTTCGTAAAAGATTTGTGTTCTCGACGATAACAATGTGATTATTTTGTAAAAATTAAGATACAAATTCTTTGTCTGTCAAAATTTTTGAATAAATATTTAATAGAAATGTTTGTTTATGTAATTGCTTTGTAGTTGTTCTATTTTGTATGATTTTTTTTATCGATTCTAGTGAACGACATGTAAAGGTTATAGGTAGAAAGGAATAGATAGAATAATTCTCGAATGTTATGTCATTTTATTTCATTCTTCATTACATCGTTGTTTAAAATGTTTATATAAATACGTATTTTTTAATTATATTTTAATCTAATTTGTTTCAGATTTTTTAATGTTTATATACATACATATACGATTAGTATATTAAAAAATATTAAAAATAATAAAATATTAAAATATTAAAATATCAAGATGATTCGCTTATTAAGCAGAAGCCCAATATTAACACTCATTTTTCCATTGGAGAAGACTAGCTATGATAAGCCAATGAGTCAAACAATAAAACCACTGAATGATGAGTTAAGTTGGGACAGAGTAAAAAGAATATTTACTATTGAGTACATATCTTATATATTTGACTAAAATTTTTCTGTTTCAATTTCAAGTATAAAGTTTTTGTATAAATTATAATTTTGTATATTGTTTATTTTTCAGTGAAAATGGCTGGTATAGAAAGGAAATACAATCTATCATAAATATAACACTGTGTGGTTTTGCAACTGGTTTATGTATGGGAGGTATTGTTGCAATGAAGAATGCAGTAGAAACTTTTATCGCGAATAACGAAGCGTCACAGTTCATTAGTCATTTTGATGCGAAACGGAATCTTCAAGATAAAGTTATTCTTAATTTTTTAAAGAAGGGTACGAAAGTGGGTTTGAAAATTGGATTGTTTTGTCTTATTTTTAGGTAAAGTATATCTTTATAATTAGTAAAAAAGTATATCTTTATAATTTAAAATTTACAGAAGACTATGAACATAGATTATATATTCATTTACAGTTCTGTAACGACATGTACAACAGCATATCGAGGGAAATTGGCGGTAGAAAATTATATGTTGGGTGGTTCTGTAACAGGATTCCTATTTAAAATAAATTTAGGACTTCGGGGAATGCTCGTTGGCACTGGACTTGGTGGTATATTAGGTGGATTATGTGGCACTACATCGATTATTATTCTTAAATTGTCAGGAGTAACTATAGATGAAATATTAGAAGCACAACAACAATGGATAAACTCAAGGAATGAGTAAGTAAAATATTTATGATTTTTAAATATTGAATCTATTTCTCATAGAAATTTTATAGCATGTGCATTCAAGATATCTTGCTACACAATAAATGTATAAGTTATAGAAGTCATATATGTTCTAATTCATTGATATATTCTATGTTTGATATTGTTAGGGCGCGCGAAAAAATACACACTGTTTAGAT